TTTATTATTGATGAATTGCATACGATGAATTGCATCTTTCAAGCACGCCGAGATTGTCAAAATGAAACTTTGAAGTCGTTTGTTTTCAAGATTGAAGACTTAAACAGTGAAATGTATTCTTGCCTTCGTATATTTATTTGCATCAACTTTATCGCAGATTCCAAAAGCCAATTAACCGGACGGGGGTCATGCCCTCTTGGACCTGCAATTTGCGCTAGTAAAAGCAAATACTGTTCCAAGCGTCTATCCAAAAGATAGAAAAAACTGATTGCTCAGGATCCATGTGTCTCCCGTGAGACCATTTCAAAGTCTTCAACTTTCAGCGTTTTTTATGGTGAAACAACTTTTAATTGTATCGTCAAAGAAAATTGGTAAGATAACATTTTTTTTTGAGTAAATTATATATATATATATATTGTGGTTTTTTTTTTTTATATATTTTTGAAGAAACTTTTTCACATTTATAATGTTGTGGTTTGATTTTGTTATCAGAAAGAGATAACAGCGTTAAAAAAAAAAAAAGAATAATTTTATAATTTTATTAAAATTTATTTTATTTTTAACATTTTTTTTTTTATAATGAAAGTGAACGACAAAGGTTATAAAAGTATAAGCGAAAAAATCACAAAAAAGATATGTGAAGTTTTCTCTTTTTTATACATAATTAAACATAACAGGTTTCTACTTTCTTGTTCCCATTGCAAAATTAAAAACATAATTTAAATGGTGCAGCATTGTAATTAGCAATGATTTTGCCAATGAAGAACTTAGTCTAAAAAACTAAATTATGTCAGAGAAGTTGTAAAAAAATGCAAAACCTTTTTACTTTTTTTTTTCATACGGACTACGAAGAACATTTTTTTTACCCTTTGAAACTTTTGTTGGACAAACACTAAAAATAATTGATTTTTTTTTTATTGCAATGTTTCAATTAGATCTTGCAAGCTGATCAAATAAAAAATATTCATTCTACTTGTTTGACTAAATTTGATCTAATTCGATTTGTTTAAGAAAAGTCAACAACTCAAATCCGTTTAATCCAAAGTTAATTAAATTAAAATTCAAAATAATCCAAATTCGATCTAAATATTAAAATTATTTGAAATTAAATTGATATGAGTTTAAAATTAAAATATTTAAATCCAGATTTCATGATCTAAATTTGAACAATTTGAATATAAAACTCGAAAAATTTGAATTAAAAATGATTTAAATCTAAAATAATCCAAAATAATCTAATTTGAAGTGATCTAACTCTATGTGCCTAATTGTCACCTCTAATTCAATACATATAAGAAAAAAATCATTTTCTACTTCAGGTTTAATGCAATGGTAAAGAGGAAAAAAAAGTTGTTAAATTTTAGCAAATCATATAAGACTTGGTGTCAGTAGATGTAGACGAAGAAATTTCCCAAAAAAAGAAACTTTTTCCTTGTTTCTTCCTTTCTACTAGAAGACAGATAAAATGTGAAAAAATATATATATATTTAAAGGGAATGGAAAATGAAAAGGCAAATAATGGATCATGTGTTTGATAAGCCTTCGCAAAAAGTCTGGTCAATTTATAGTTTTCATTTCGAATTAGCTCAAACAAGCACTCATGAATTTACATTAGTGGTGTCCAAAAGACCAAAAGAACTCACCAAATTTGTAGGCTTGGCACGAAGATTTTATTTTTAAAAATATTTTTTTACAGCATTTATTAAATTATTAATTTAAAAATAGTTTTTAATATTTTAATTAAAATATTGTTATGCAAATGGATAGATTAGGTGGAGATCAAGTTTGACTTTAAAAAATTGTAATCACGATTGGCTTAACTCGAGCACGACCCATCAAAACTTTTAAATTGTAGATAATAAATAAATACTAATTAGTCTTTCCGTCTCATATATAATGTATTATTTTGGTTTTCAGTAATTTTAAAATATTTTTACTTAATTTACCCTTATTTTGAAAAAAAAAATTGTAATTAGTTAAGAGTAATATGAAGAGAAAGATTGATTTTTCTTTGAATTTGTAAACGAAACAGCATTTTAAGGCAATTAAAAATATGCAAACATGAAAATATTATCGGATGGATGGAGTAAGACATTAATATCATTTCAGTACATAAATGGATATTATAATTTAACATTGTTATGAAAATATAATAAGAAATGGAAGTTAATATTATTAATTAGAATGTGTAATTAAGTATTATTAACACCTTATATCATGAAATATGCATGATATAATTAAACCCATTTAAAAATTTAAATTGCTTTGTTTAGCATGATCATTTCTTTCCTTAGCATTTGATTTATATATTTTATCACATGTAATATTTTATATATCTTATGCTTAAATATTTTAGCATGGTTTGCTTCCTTTCATTCAATAATTAGTTGATATGGTTGTTTATGATATTTTATCATGTACGTAAACGTTTAGTTTGAAAATCGTTTAACATTTTGGAAGTCCCTTTCTCATAAATATGATTTCTCAAATGAATGATTTTGATCAAATAAATTTTGAGACAAAATCAATCATTTTTCAAGGTAAAGATACTCAAAATTTCATATTTGTAAAGAATGAATTGATCCCTTCCTCAAAGAATCACTCCTTTATAAAATAGAACTTATTTTGACTAAAATTTGCTGAAAGGATCGATCCTCCGTGTAAGGATTAATTTTGTGACAAACAAAATGCGATTTTTTAACATGGAAAGATTGATCTCCTCCATGAAAGGACCAATTCCCTTCTAAAAGGATCAATCCCACCTTGACAGGACCAATCCCTTAATCTTTAATGGTAAAATTTTTATATTTCGAAGCAAAAAGGATTGATTTCGTAGGAAAGGATGAATCCCTCGACCCTAAAAAAAAAAAAAAAAAAACCAAAATTTGAAGTTTTCGGTGGCGATTTTTCATCCAAATTATCCACAACCGCTAGAATTTCAACATCTTCCAAGTTGAATAGATATCATTCCAAGAGCTTTAAATCAAGAAATTCAAGATCTTTCAAGATTTTAGTGCTTTATTTCCGTATATATATTTGTAATTCTTTTATTCAATTTTTGTTGGTCTCTCATTGTACTCATTAGACAATCATCCAACTTTTGAGAGGTTTATTTGTATGTAAAACTCAATTGTAAAACCTTAGAGGCTGTTACCTTATCCAAGAAAGTAAGGAGTTAAAATTGTTTCATATGCCTTGAAATGTAGGGAATTAGAGGTTGTTACCTAAGCTCAAAAAGGTTGGGAGTTAGAGGTTGCTACTTAAGCTTGAAAGGATAGAGAGTTAGAGGTTGCTATCTAATTAAGCCTTAAAATGTAAGGATGGAAAAGGTTATACCTAAGTCTAGAAAAGGTAACTTGTAAAGTTTGAAAAAAATAATGCGTTAAGCTCCTTGGCAAGGAAACCTAAGGAAGATAACCCAAATGAGTTGAGGAAAGATCGAACTTATATAAATTATTGTGTTTGAATTTTTTATGCTTTACCTTTTATTTAATTTCAAGTTAATTGTGTTTTAATTTCAAATAATTTTGTATTTTATATTTTATATTTTACATTTATATTTATTTAAAATTTTATTTTGAGAAGAATTTGAACACAATTCAATTTATCCTCTCTTGATTGTTATCTATATTATGTATGATTTATTTGATGACATGCATGGTTTCTCAGTAAATTATGTTTTTGTTTGTAATATTAAAAAAAAAAAAAAGTATTCAGTTGTATAGGTGATATTGTGCCTAGACATGATATTCACATCATGCATGTTTGTCTAAACCCAATCCAACCTAATAATTCAGGTATCAATTTTTGATATGTCAATTTAATAAATGAGACAACCCATGCTCACCCAGACAAAGTCTTTTGTTAAAAAATATTGCATATTTATTTAATTTTTAATATTTTTGCCTTTATTTTATTAAGGTTTAGTACTCATTTTTTTAAAAAAAAAATTACAAGTGAATATTTAGATTTGGACAGATAATTCGACCTTGAACAAGATTATTCACTTACATAAAAAAAGGAATATTCTAATTTTGAAAATGTCTAAAAAGCTTATACAAACATTTAATTTGAGGTTTTGTTGTTCTTTTTTTATTAGAGGTGAAAATTGAGTAAGTGAGATCAAATTTTTGTTTGAATCATTTGGAGATTGAATGAATTTAAATTTAATTCATTTCAAATTGGAACCATTCTGAATTCAAATTGTTTACTTTCAAATAAGATATGATTTGAAAGGTCATTAGGATAAAAGAAAGAGGTTATATTTGATACATTGACAGTGTATATATGTTGTACACTATCAATTAACTAAATGCTCTCACTTCATTAATAAAATTTTTTAAAAATTTAAAGGCCCTTAGATAAATATCTTTAAATTTATTCTTGAACATTGTTTGAAAAACTAATTTAATTTTTTAATTTTTATAAAAATTTAATCATAATTTAGAAATTTTAAATTAATTCGATAAATGTATTTATGGATTTCGATAAACTGTTTAATTTTAAAAGCTTAAATTTTGTAAAAGTGAATGTTACTGATGAATAAAAATAATATTCAAAGTCATAACTACAACTAAAAATATTAGGTAAAGAAAATTTTCACTTCAACAACAGTTTTTCATAACTGTTGGTAGCTTATCCATCTGCTGTGGTTCTACAACTGGAAAGGCCAAGATTTGGGAGGAAAAATCCGCCCAACAAGGTTACAAGGTTAAAACTTCAGACAATGGCAGAAGTGGCTCAAAAGCTTGAGCAGTAAGAGGAAGTTATGTGTAGTGTTCAAAAATAAAATTTAAAGATATTTATCTTTGAGGGCTTTTAAAGTTTTAAAATTTTTTAATTAGTGAGGTGGCAATATTTAGTTATTTGATAGTGTATGGTATATATATATATTGACAATGTATTAAATATAATCTTTAAAAAAACATCTTTCTTAAAAACTTTTTTTGGCTACAACTCTTATGAAAAACTTCACAGAACCAATCATGTTTCCTTGGGGCCTAAAGTTGATACCATGGGCCACTCCTATTATCAATCCAGCTCCATATCCCGTTGCAACTATTTTCCAACCAAACTTTAACACAGTTCCGATGCTTTACTTCTTCAGATGTCAAAGACGGTGGCATTGAGGCATTAGGATTTTCACATTTTTTCAATAATGGGATTCCACACAATCCTGAATTTCCATCAAACGAATCAATACTGAAAGTACTAAACTGTGTTCCTACGGGTATGGGTCCTTGGAGACAATTATGATAAACGTTCAAGACTTCGAGGAAAGTAAGTTGAGCCAATTGCTGAGGGATTTGGCCGGAGAGCTTATTTTGAGAAAGGTCCAAAGATTCAAGCTGAGTTAGCTTCCCCAAGCATGATGGAATATGACCAATCAAACCGTTATTTGAAAGGTTAAGTACATGTAGTCCCTTCAAATTCCCAATAGCGTCGGGGATTTGACCATTAAACTTGTTGCTTGATAGATCAATGACAATCAAGAAGTCTGGAATATACTTATATTCCAGTTCAAGGCCTTTATTCGCTAATCTGATCGAGATTGAGTAAGTATAATGATCTGCATTGGCAACTTTCATCGCATTCCAAATACTGAAGTAGCCAAAGGGCAAACTACCTCTTAAACAATTGTTAGAGAGGTTAATAATTCGCAACTTAGAGAATTCATATTTGGTTTGAGGTTTACCTATCACACCATGCAGTCCACTAGATCTCAAAATCAGAACCTTGAGCTCTGAAAGAGAACCCAACCAAGAAGGAAAGGTATCATTCATTTGATTTTTTTCAAGAAGAAGAGCCTCTAGCTGGGTACAATGGATCAGTGATCTTGGTATCTTCCCCTGCAATTGATTTTGACTCAAGTCTATTACCTTCAATGTACATCCCCGTTTGTATGTTTGAGGAATTGCACCGGTAAAGTGGTTGTTTCCAAGATTGAGTACTTCCAGAGAGTTGCCGAGGTTGCCCATACATCTAGGAAGTATTCCACTCAAGTTGTTATTGGACAAATCAAAGACAACAAGAGAAGACAAATTGCATATCGTTGGTGAAATTTCTCCAGTCAATGAGTTGTTTCCAAGATTGAGTACGTACAGAGAGTTGCCGAGGTTGCCCATACATCTAGGAAGTATTCCACTCAAGTTGTTATTGGACAAATCAAAGACAACAAGAGAAGGCAAATTGCATATCGTGGGTGAAATTTCTCCAGTCAATAAGTTGTTTCCAAGATTGAGTGCGTACAGAGAGTTGCCGAGGTTGCCCATACATCTAGGAAGTATTCCACTCAAGTTGTTATTGAACAAATCAAAGTAAACAAGAGCAGACAAATTCCATATCGTTGGTGAAATCTGACCATCTAATTTATTTCCCCTAAGATATAAACGGGAAATTTGGGTCAAATTTCCGAGAGAAGATGGGATTTTCCCAGTTAAATTGGTGTATGACAATCCCAAGTATGTTAACTTGGTTTGTCCACCAATCCAGGACAAGGTTCCATGGTCGAAACTATTGTCGCGAAGGAACAGATGAATAAGTTGGGTAAGATTGGATAAAGAAGAAGGGATCTCCCCACAAAAAAAGTTAAAAGAGAAATCCACAGACATGAGCTGGTTTAGGTTTCCAAGTACTGAAGGTGGAATAGGTCCCGAAAAGTTGTTAAAAGACAGATCGAGATGTCGGAGATCAGTAAGGTTACCAAATGAATATGGTATCTTACCTGAAAAATAGCACCTGCTGATATCCAAATAGTCCAATGACTTGAAGTTTCCAATTGATTCTGGCAGCCGTCCAGAAAAACCTGTGTCTGCAAGGCTTAATTTCAAAAGAGGGTGATTACCCTGAATATCAGGCAAAGATCCAGTAAGTTTCTGATTTGACTGCAAGCTGAGAAACTGAAGACTTGGTAACTCAAAAATTCCTGTGGGAAACTCACCACGCAAGTCACAATTTGATAAATTTAAAGTTTTCAATGAAGAAAAATTTGCTAAGATACTAGGTACCGGCGAAGAAATTCTTACTTCAGTAAGATCAAGTTCACTAAGATTGCCTAATTTCTCAAGCAGAGACCTCAAGCCTGGCTTCCGAAGCCTTAATGAGTTTCTTGACAGATCAAGGAGCTCTAGTTCTGATTGTTTATGTGACTCATCACATATTCCCACGCATATAAGACTTTTCTAGCACGTGGATGAACACACTTTATCCTTTTTCATCATGATCGAACATCATGCTTCATTTTGAAAGGAAATGACTACTATTCTTGTTTTATTTCATGATGGCTGAATGCCATCTTTATTTTATTTTCTATGGCCGAATGCCGTACTTTTAATGGAAAGAAGGGGCTTTTTTTCATGGTTTAAAAACCAGGCATAACTGCCCAAGGCAGTTTTATGTCAAGAGACAAACTGCCTTATGGCAGTTGCCGCATTTTGTGGTCGTGCTATTCCATGAATGGGCAGATCCATATATACTCCAACAATTGAAAATTTTAGGAACAAGAGTAATAGCAGTAGCATTTATAGCTTGAATCATATTACCAGTTCTGACAAAAAAAAAAATACAAGACTGCTTGAATGATATCCTCACCCGCAATGCTCCATGACACTTTAAAAAGGTGGATGGTATTGTTAGGCAAAAAGCCTCAATTCAATCAAGCCAGCGAAAGTATGATCAAATAATCAATCAATCAATAACACAAGAGACAACAATTTAACGTGGTTTAATTTAATCAATCTATATCCATGGATGAGAAACAAGATCCACTAATTCTAGAGAATTATAAACATACAAATCATATCAACCACTCAACAATCAATACCCATAGGCCCTCTCAATCTCATCTAATCCTATGGAGTATTCTCAACCCAAACAAACACATACCCTTGTACACCCATGCCCCATACCTATGTGAACCTTCTTAGTCTCCTCTAGTCTTTTCAAACACAAAAACAAACATACTCATAAGACGTAAATCCTTAGTACTCCTATGGGGTGTCTATCTCATAAAACTCTACAACTCTCTTACATCTTTTTCTCATATCTAACCCTGCAAAGACTTCACCTATTTATAATCATACAAACTTGCCTATTAAGAATTCCTTTCCTCTTAGAATTCTTCTTTTACAAGTCAAACTTGCCTATTAAGAATCTCTTTTCTCTTAAAATTCTTCTTCTACGAGTCTTCTTGTCTATCAAGCAATATCTAACCAATCTCAAATAAATCTTTTATGAGATTTAAGTCACTATTCTTAACAAGTATAACCATAAAATCTAGGTGCTCATGGACATGTCCCTATATATAGGTAGGGTGCCCATAGACACCTTTAATATTGAAAAATAAGAAAATTAAAAAAAGAAATTCCTCCACATCCCACAAATTTTTCCTCAATAGTATTTATGTGAATAAAATTACTAAAATTGCTGATAATTTTTATATATGCTATAAATGGACACTCCCAAAAATAATCTTCGATTCACCATACTTTATCATTTTTCATAGTGAAAAGGTGGACTTAATTTCTGTAGAAGTAAAATCAACCTCTTAAATGCCCATATGGTAATCAGTTATGCTTTTACGCAACAACTATTTTAGATATTCAATTGAGTTACCATACACACTAGAATCAGATGCTCCCAAAAGACCAATAAAGAATAGCAATGCCCCATTTCAATATCCTTAAAAGAATCAACTTTCAGCCCCTAGGTGTCATGTAAGTCTTTTTCTTATAAAAAGATTCTTCAATTGCTTATAATGTAAATTAGAATCTTAGGCTCCTATAGACACCCATTTGTGTCCGAGGTCTATCAAATCGATTTTTATTGTCATTATCTATGTTATTAGTATACCATATTATATTACTATGTTATTATTATTGTTTTATTATGGTATACTATGTTATTATAATTATTATTACTATTATTTTTATTATGTTATTATTATTACTATTATATTCTCCTTCCCTTTCTTTTTTGACTTGTGATAGGAATTTTTGAAACTAAAATTGAATCAATCGAATCAAAAGATGTATGTGGTTAAAAGGTTTTAATGCAGAGCCCAATCACAAGGTTTTAATTTGGATTTGAACAAATTAGCAGAAATCTAGCCCTAAATCATGCTCGGGCAGAACTTAATCCCAGGATTTAAGCCTGGATTGGTTCTGTCCATTTCCTAAGGATGCCTACAAATTGAACCAAGAATCAGAGAAATAGAGGCAGTGAATTTTTTGGGGCAAAAAGACCTAGTGTTTAAGTTTATGAAATTTTGGATTAGTGGGATTTTGAGTTTAGGTTTCGAAAATTCTAGGGATTTTGGGTTTAGATTTGGGTTTTTGGGATTAGGTTTAAGATTCTGGAAGATTTTTGAAGAGATCTAGAAAAAGCTGGGAAAATCTAGAAATTTTTTAGGATTTTCTGCAAAAAAACTGGGTTGTTAGGATGAACTTGAATTTTTTGATTAAATTTTTTAGCGAAAGTTGAAGTTTCTAGCGGGATTCCAACAAAATTTTTAGAAACCAACGACCAAACCTAGTTTTCAATGGTGTTCTTGGCTGGATTCTAGAGAGAAATGAAAGAGAATCAAGTTAGAAAAAGAGTGAACAGAGTTTTCTAAAGGAAAAAATGCAGAATTAGGTTCATATGGCATCCCAAAATGACACCGTTTTAGAAGTCCCAAATCCGCAAGTAGATGTGTTGACCCGCGTGCTAACTCGACCTGATCATAAGTTTTTTTTTTCATTTTATTTTTATTTTTTGATTTCATTTCATTTTATTATTTTAATTTTTTATTTCTATTTTATTTCCATTTTTTATTATTTTATTGATCTTTTTCATTCATTTATTTTACTGAGTGACTTATTTATTTTGCAAAAATTCTCACTTATTTCCAAAAAACAAAATAAAGCAAAATAAAATTTAAAAATAAAAAATAAAAATTTTTTTCAAAATAAATTCATGAATTCTACCAAATTATTAGAGAATCTTTATGGATTTAATTTTTGAAATGAAATCCACTAAACTATTGAAAAATTTTATAAATTAGTTTTCAAAAAAATCAAAAACTAAAAAGAAATGTTTTTGTCCTTTAAACGATTGGAGAATTGCTTTCTAAATTAAGTCTTACCAAACAATTAGAAGACTTAATGAAATTATAAAAAGTTTTTACAAATCTGTTTGCAATAAAATCTCACAAAACTATTAGAGATCTGCATCAAAGTAAGTTTTACCAAATTATTGTAAGGCCTTACAATTTTTTTCGAATAAAAAACCTAATAAATCCAACAACGGAGCCTCTTCAGGGTAGGACACTAGTCTCCACGAATACTCTTGAGGTGAGAGAATTATCTTAAATTGCTACCAAACTATTAGGACAATTTTAAGAGTAATTTTCAATATTTAATATTTTGGTAAAAGTATAAACATTTTTTAAGGCTTGGATAATTTAGAATCAAATTGGTATCATCTTTTGATGGGTGCAGTGAGGGTGGTATAAACTTCTTTATGCGTAATTGGACTCCCAAACTTAAAATTTGGTTTTGTAAATCAAATTTGATCAGATGGCCAATCACACCTAAGTAGAAAAAATTTGTAGTAACTCCTCTAATCCATATCTAGTAGTAGGTCTATGGATCTATACATTATGACAGTTTGGTGACTCCACTAGGGACATTGAGAGTCAAGCTAGTAAATGATTTCTTATTATCCAAGCCTTGCCTAATAAATTTGAAATTTATTTTTTTATTATTTCTTTTCATTACTTATGTTTGTTTTAGTTATTCATTTATTTATTGTATATATCTATCATTCATTTGTATGTGCATAACATACAGCTCTCTACCCAAGCTATATCTTTAGAAGAGAGTGAAATACCTATGCCTTCATGAGATTTCCTATTTCTGTATGAGCCTACGAAACACTCTCACTCAAATTAAACCATTTTCACTTAAAGCCTATGATAGGTAAAAATTGGAGTGGCTTACTAGTCTATGATAGACAATGATGTAAAGAATAATTTAAGAACCTTCTAAAAGTAATCCAAACCACATATAGTTAACCCTAAGGGTCCGAACCCAGATAGAGCCATGCCTTTCCCTTGTGTTTGAAAAACCTAAATAAGACACATTATTGGATGTTTATTTTACTTGTAAGATTCTGTATTATGTCTATTTGTATACTAACCTTGTATGTTGGTCTTTGTATATTATTTTTTTACTAACTTTTTTCCTTCATCATGCTTCACATCATTAGATTTATCATAAGAAAAATTTGCCACGAAAATTTTTTAACAAGAAAATTCTTAGTTATATTTATGAAAAGCCTAGCAAAGTCCTCTACTGGCCTAAAAACAAAGTATGAGGAGTTGAAGCTTGCAAACAAAAAGCTTAAAAAGGAAGTCCAAACACTAGAACAAGAAAAAAGATGGATGGAGGAGTTTGTGCATTGACTTTAATATAACAAGGTCATCCACTAATCAAGAATTGGCTCAACTTTTGCAAGAAAATGGACAATCGTAAGTAAAACTACAAGAAAGGGATACAATGCTCTTTGAAGTGCGAAAGCACATCTAGATACTAAATGGAGTAATGGCATAAATCAAAGTACAAATGATGGCCATGGCTGAAGAATATCAACAAATGAAAGAAGCATATGTGAAAAAACATAACCAGTTGAAGTCTCTGCTTGACTGAATCATAGTGGCTATTTCCAAAGCCAAAAACATGATAGAAATGATTGAAAAATGGAAAGTAAGGGTGCCACCAGTGGGAGCACAAGGTCAAAAATTGATAGATTTCCTTAAAAAAGTGCAAAGCCAATATTAATGAGCTGGGGATTTCTTTTCTTAGTAGTTCTAGACTTTTCATGGATGTAATATTGGATTTGGTTTAAAGTGACTTTTAATGAAGATTTTCTTTGATAATAATTGTTATATAGTAAATTTTTCTTATTGTATTCATGCATTTTGCCTTTGTTTTCATTTTCATACCTAATTTAAGGGTTCTATAAGCATCATTTTAAATTTTCACATTGTGAAAATCAAGGTTTAAGGATAGCTCAACACTAGTATTACACATAGTTTAGGGCCAAGAAAATGGATAAGGATAATGCAAACCATTTTAAAAGGTTGGAAAAAGTTCAAAATATAATAGAGGGAAAGTTAAATAAAATCTTTGAGCTCTAAAAGATATGAACAAAGGAAAAAAGGTAGAAAAAGATACTTCACATGAAGATACTGAATCACTATACCTTTCAGGTTTTGGTCTACACCAAACCTAGATTGCTTCAAATATTCAACCACAACAGACCATGTTCTCAAATTATAGAATGCCTTATGCACTTAATTAAAGAAATATTTAGAGTTATACCAATCTTGTCTTCACTAGAAAGGCAGATGAGACCATCTAATTTCCTAAAATGAATGAGATAAAAAAAAGTGAAGTTGTAAACAACATCACCTTTAGAAGACATTAAAATTGATTAAGCTATGAGCATGATTGAGAAAAGATTATAAGATATAGAAGACATTGATTTCTATGGAT